CCCCCACACCCCCCCCAAAAAAAAAAAAAAAAAAAATCCGCCACTGCCAGACTTTCAGAACAAATGTTCGCATTTGCACTTGTCGAAGCGTTCGACCTTTGCACAGGTGTAGGGATAAAAAAAAAAAAAAATATATATATATATATATATATATATATATATATATATATATATGCACTTGTCGAAGCGTTCGACCTTTGCACAGGTGTAGGGATAAAATATATATATATAGCTCTGTATCTGTAATAATGTAAATACGTGTTAAAAATGAGAGCATTGGGTTTTTTCCCCTAAAAAACCTAAGATACATTGTTTTAATCCAGTACATTGTATAAATGAACTCCTCTCCATAACTCATATCCGTTTTCTTCATCGTTTCACTTCAATTACTTTTGACATCTAAGGTTTTTAAGCCTATTTTGCTTAAAGTATTTTAAAAAATGCAAAGGATTAGCATACTTACAAAAGCCCAAAGTGTGCAAATGAAATGAAGATAACCGCCCGTTTCAGTTGTTTTCGGACGGAACACATGCATATAGATAAGCATATTTTGACAGGGTGCTACAGTTTTATCAATAAGCCAATGTCCTTTATCGTTGCAGGTCGCTATGATGTACTTCTACTGGCAGAAATTTACGCGATTATAGAAGAGAGAGACAGACGAACTAGCAGCGACTTCAAACTCGACATTACTCCCAGCAATAGGTCAAACTGCGTGTTTATATTATTAGGTTCAAGTAATTGGCCAAGTAGTTTTATCATGTAGTTCTTGGAAAGAGCTGCAATAAGGAAAATTCGTACACCCTTCCAAGAAAAGCCAAACAAAGTATTTGAGATAACAGGCATTTATCACTACGAGACGTCTACATCGGGCAAACAGTTTTGGCAAAATATATTCGAAAAATACTGGTGGTCCTACAATATCAAGTGACTCTAGGTGGGCATTTTTTTTCAAAATTTCTACAGTTTTGGAGGTCATTTTATTCATTACGTACATACTTTGACCCACCTTATCTGCAGGTACTGTATAAGTATGTATACTTATAAACAACAATTTGGGTTATCTGCATAATTGTGGTCCTTCCAAGAAAACAAGGTCACATATCTGCCAAGGGACGTTTTATGATCACATGCAAACTATAGACCTCAGGCCAACCCATTGTAACATGCAGTAAAATTTTGATGAGGCAAAAAATTCCAATGTAAAAAAAACATTACTTATTAACTTACTACTGCTATGTGATAGCATCTTTGCCCTGGAATTGAAAACGATGCCAATTTTTTTCTTATGTGAAAAATTATCATCAACTGTGAAAATGAGTATATATGCAAGTACATTGCACCCTGTTTATAGTTAGCCTTTATCAAAATCCAGATGTATTAAGAAAAATACCATTTTCTTTTTCAAGTCAACAGGGATGAATGGAAAATGAATCCCACAATGTTATGTTTACCACTCAATGGAATTGAACATTATGTCTGAAATTTCCAATTAAGTAAAAAGATCAACTTTGAAATTGGTTATATACACTGTATCATATTTATTTTGGTTGTAATACAGATGCATTCCACAAAACATACATTTAACACTCTAAAATTACTTTCACATTTTTTCAAATGATTTTTGCCCATTTTGGTTGTAAAATAAACTCCACAGTTCTATGTTTATCTCCATATGAAAGCATGGACAAAATTACGAGTATTTGTTATTATGTCCAAGATGAAAGTGAAACTCTAACATCATGTGCTTTGTTTAGTTTCTGAACCAATAGATGGCAGCACTGTCTGATCTTGATTCTGTTGCTGCTGTTCCATTTGGGTCACTTGCTCCATCATGGCCTGCTGTTTTTTAGTTTGCACATCCATGAAAATAGCCATGCCTCTGTGGTTCATTTTTACAAGTTTATCACAACAGCTGTGGATACAGCTTGCCTGAAATAATAGAATCAAATATTAAACAAAATTTAAGAATACATAGTGAGACATGCTGTCACTGAACCACAACTGTATGATTCAAAGCTTATTATGCACAATAAATAAAATATTAGGTAGTCACCCCTCAAAAAACCTTTATCCTTCTTACAATAATGTTCTGTCTTTCAAAGAAAAAATGTATATTGGCCATGATCCATTCCAAGAAATAATTCATATCAAGGAATGGATTGAGAATCTTACCAATTCACACATGATATTATTTTATTTTTATTTTATAGTTATGTATGCTATCTGGGTGCATGTATTATAAACCTGCTTCAACCTTTTACTGCTCAGAGTTTTCTCTGGCATATTTACAACTTCATTGACTGTTATCGGTACTTACCTCATCTTTAGTCAACTGATTGTAGTTAAAGTTAGACACACAACGGCTGAAGCAATTATCTGTCATTTGGTTGTAAATTGAGAAGAAGTCTCTGGACTGAAAAAAATGGTGATACAATTAACCACGTTTATATTTTTCAATTTTAAAAAAACTTTTCAATAGTGTTCATGTTTTAAAAAGGGGAAATAATTGATTTCTAATAAATTTATCATGATAAATGGGCTAATTTTAAAAAATGGTGCTTGTGCAGTACACCCTTAAATTTAACATGGAAGTCTGTTTTTTTTTCTGAATTCAGTTATGAGGTTACTTTCATCAATGTCTCTGCTATTCAAGTAAACCTATTTGTCATTAACTTGCTGATTTTTTTTTTTTTTTTATGTACACTGTTGAAATGACCATGACTCCTATCATATCATCATGGGCTTAAACACATTAGAAAACATTACGAAAGTTGTTAAAATAATTCATCTGAAGAGCAGAGACACTGATCTACATAAATGAATGAAGAAAAACATTGAAATTCATACTTAATTATAAATTTGGTGAGGGGGGGGGGGGGGGGTGGGAACATACAGCATAAATTCCAAAAAGAAGCCATTAAAATTACTTGATCTAACCAAAGCCTCCACATTTAAATAATGCAGGTTAGCTCCATGCCTAAAAACTGATTTGCATTACTTGGTGACAAAATCTATGATCACTGGTTAATAATCACAAAAAAAATCTCTGTAATAAATTACTGGTACATACCACTCTCATTTGCTGGTCCAGCGATGCACTTTGCATCTGAGCAGCGTTCATTTTTTTCAGCCAAAAATATTCTATTTGGGTGATCTTTTAGATAGTAACAATACGAACTCAATAACTACTAACTATAGTTGATGGCGTTGTGAATCCTTCTTCACATTGACACCACCACCAAGGACGTTGCCAAGTTAATTGCACGATGAGCCAAAAATACGATTTCAAATGAATTCCATTTTGCTCGATGTCATCCACTGTCTCTTTCCGTGATGGGAAAATAAAATTTCAGAACTGTTGCTGCATTTCATCAATAAGTAAAACATTAAAAACAAAAAATAATGTGAAGCTCGTCTGCCAGCCAAAGCACATGGGAAGCCAACATATGATAGATGTCGCTTAAACTCAAGAAAAGCTAAATGTCACCCAAAGCAAGTTTGTGTATTTTATGATTAAAATAATTTTATTTGCCTAATATAAGTCACCAATGTAACATATGTTGCACTCATTCCATTTTGATAAGTGTTTTAGGAGAAATAGTGCATTTTGTAGGAAAATACCCGTATGAGATGATGTCATTGCCACAAGTTAGACGACACACAGACAGACATATTTGGAAACAAGGAACAGGTAAGCAGTACTCTTGTGCCGACCTGTGCTTCTCCTTTTGCTTTGCATGTTAACTTCACATTTTCAGAGTGGTGGCGATATCAGTTTATCTGCTCTGTTGCAGAGGTACAGTGTCAGTGAAAGCTTTCGTCAGTTAAGCCTCAAGATGAAAGCGTTCACGTAGCTGAGCCAAGAGCTCAAATACACGTACTGTACTTATCTGTGTTGTGTTCCTGTCAGAATGAACACGTAAACAATGCTCTGGAATTCAGCTTTCCCCAGTGCTTTTATTGAATTTGTGATATCAAATGCATTTTAATGAATTATCAGTCTGGAAGATGCACTGGTGTACAATGTAACTTACAAGTTACAATATCCATCAAAGTTTGGGTACTTTTGCTGTACCCCCCCCCCCCCCCCCCCACACCTTTTAACAATTCCTCAGTGTTTGTCAAAATTAAGCTGCCTGCGTTCAGTGTATCTAATATGAAAAAAGTTAGTTTGGAAATTTACTTTCATGATATTTGGATGGCATTAAGTTTCACTAAAAACATTGATAAATTGAATTGCCAGTCTAATTTCTTTTAAATAACTGAGCTAATTTTTTCATTTTTAATTATGAGACATTCTTTCTTGGAAAAGTGTGAGTTCTTTAGGCCTGTTGGATTGATCTTACTCCTCTGGGATTCCCACTAAATTACATTCAGTTTAAGCAGCTTAAATGGCTGATCGCCCCTCGTAACTTAAAATTACTTGGGTAAAGTCTTGAAAACTTAATGGTCAATGATGTTGTTCATGTTGCTTTCCAAGGGGGTGCCAGACAATTATACTGAACGCAGTCTTAGAAATAACATGTCATTTGGTGTGGGTCAGGGTGAGACCCAGCTTAATTATAATTAAGAGAAGTCAGACAAGTTTCTCAAATGTACTACAGTATGTTGTCACAAGTTTCATTGTAAGCGTGATTGTGAATTGATTAAGATTGCCATTGTTTCACTGCTGACCTTTTGTTCTGTTGAAAAGTTTAAGCAAAACAAGAACAGCACTATCTTATTTGAGTTAAGGTTAATTTTCTGGTGCTTAGCAATCATGACTTAAGAGTTGCCAACTCGGTGCTTTTATTAGTATTCCATGCATTATTTACCAGTTGGAGTGCACTCCTGTTGTTAACAGGTGTTATGCTGTTATTAATAAGACATTGTACAGTGAGTAGATATATGCATTTTGAGCACCGTCATTTTGACAACTCTGTCAGTCAAGTGTATTCAAAACAGGACAATATTATGTAAACATGATCACAACTTTTACTTGTCTTTTCACTTCCAAGTGTCACTTTAATTTATTGTGTTGAACTTAGTTTAGTATTTTGAAAAAAAATCATCTACTTNCTTTAATTATAAATTTGGTGAGGGGGTGGGGGTGGGGGGGGAACATACTGCATAAGTTCCAAAAAGAAGCCATTAAAATTACTTGATCTAACCAAAGCCTCCACATTTAAATAATGCAGGTTAGCTCCATGCCTAAAAACTGATTTGCATTACTTGGTGACAAAATCTATGATCACTGGTTAATAATCACCAAAAAATCTCTGTAATAAATTACTGGTACATACCACTCTCATTTGCTGGTCCAGCGATGCACTTTGCATCTGAGCAGCGTTCATTTTTTCAGCCAAAAATATTCTATTTGGGTGATCTTTTAGATAGTAACAATACAAACTCAATAACTACTAACTATAGTAAATGACGTTGTGAATCCTTCTTCACATTGACACCACCACCAAGGACGTTGCCAAGTTAATTGCACGATGAGCCAAAAATACGATTTCAAATGAATTCCATTTTGCTCGATGTCATCCACTGTCTCTTTCCGTGATGGGAAAATAAAATTTCAGAACTGTTGCTGCATTTCATCAATAAGTAAAACATTAAAAACAAAAAAATAATGTGAAACTCGTCTGCCAGCCAAAAGCACATGGGAAGCCAACATATGATAGATGTCGCTTAACCTCAAGAAAAGCTAAATGTCACCCAAAGCAAGTTTGTGTATTTTATGATTCAAATAATCTTGTTAGACTAATATAAGTCACCAATGTAAAATATGTTGCACTCATTCCATTTTGATAAGTGTTTTAGGAGAAATAGTGCATTTTGTAGGAAAATACCCGTATGAGATGATGTCATTGCCACAAGTTAGACGACACACAGACAGACATATTTGGAAACAAGGAACAGGTAAGCAGTACTCTGTGTGGCGACCTGTGCTTCTCGTTTTGCTTTGCATGTTAACTTCACATTTTCAGAGTGGTGGCGATATCACTTTATCTGCGCTATTGCAGAGGTACAGTGTCAGCGAAAGCTTTCGTCAGTTAAGCCTCAAGATGAAAGCGTTCACGTAGCTGAGCCAAGAGCTCAAATACACGTACTCATCTGTGTTGTGCTCCTGTCAGAATGAACACGTAAACAATGCTCTGGAATTTAGCTTTCTCCAGTGCTTACAGATTTTTATTGAAATTATGATATCAATTGCATTTTAATGAATAGTCAATCAGTAAGATGTACAATGTAACGTACATGTACAAGTTACAATACCCACCAAAGTTTGGGTACTTTTGCAGTACCCCCACCCCCACCCCCACTCGTTTAATACAATTCCTCAGTGTTTATCAAAATTAAGTTGCCTGTGTTCAGTGTATCTGCTATGAAAAAAGTTAGTTTGGAAATTTACTGTTTGTATTTTATTGGTCATTTTTTTTATTATTAAACCTCAAGCTCTTTTACCAGTAAGATAACCCAGCTATAATGGCCTCAGCTTTCATGATATTTGGATGGCATTAAGTTTCACTAAAAACATTGATAAATTGAATTGCCATTCTAATTTCTTTTAAATAACTGAGCTAATTTTCTCATTTTTAATTATGAGACATTCTTTCTTGGAAAAGTGTGAGTTCTTTAGGCCTGTTGGATTGATCTTACTCCTCTGGGATTCCCACTAAATTACAGTACATTCAATTTAAGCAGCTTAAATGGCTGAACGCCCCTCGTAACTTAAAATTACTTGGGTAAAGTCTTGGAAACTTAATGGTCCATGATGTTGTTCATGTTGCTTTCCAAGGGGGTGCCAGACAATTATACTGAACGCAGTCTTGGAAATAACATGTCATTTGGTGTGGGTCAGGGTGAGACCCAGCTTAATTATAATTAAGAGAAGTCAGACAAGTTTCTAAAATGTACTACAGTATGCTGTCACAAGTTTCATTGTAAGCGTGATTGTGAATTGATTAAGATTGCCATTGTTTCACTGCTGACCTTTTGTTCTGTTGAAAAGTATAAGCAAAACAAGAACAGCACTATCTTATTTGAGTTAAGGTTAATTTTCTGGTGCTTAGCAATCATGACTTAAGAGTTGCCAACTCGGTGCTTTTATTAGTATTCCATGCATTATTTACCAGTTGGAGTGCACTCCTGTTGTTAACAGGTGTTATGCTGTTATTAATAAGACATTGTACAGTGAGTAGATATATGCATTTTGAGCACCGTCATTTTGACAACTCGGTCAGTCAAGTGTATTCAAAACAGGACAATATTATGTAAACATGATCACAACTTTAACATGTCTTTTCACTTCCAAGTGTCACTTTAATTTATTGTGTTGAACTTAGTTTAGTATTTTGGAAAAAAATCATCTACTTACAGATCAAGTGTTTCTTACATGAAAAAAGCAGTAATGAAAAGTCTTACTGGAAGAAACAGAAGTTGATTTTTAAGTCTGTTTAGACTAGAATTATTTTCAACCCTAAGACTGACTGTAGACTAACATTGAAGGTGACGGTATATTTTCTGTTGTGATGGACATGTGGTGTATTATGTAAATTTAGAAATTGCACAAAAATAATGAATTTTCTTATGAATGCTTCTGACAAACTAATTTGATAATACCTACTATTTTTATCCCATAATGTGTTATGTAAAGTTACTTTGCATCTATCGGCCTGAAGCTGTAGTCACAGACGGAAATCGTGACTGGGCATTCAGTCAGTTTTAATTTCCTGCCTGCTGTATTGGATGAAAAAGCTATTGGTTTCACTAAATTGCCTTGTTATTAATTACGCTACCTTAGCCAACATTCTCTTTACATTTAACCAAAGGTATTGTGTTGACACCCAAATATATCATGAATAAGTTTCAGGACCTCTAATTTAAATAGTATTTTCTCATCGATTAAACCATTTTATTTTGTGACCAAATGGCTGAATAAAGAGCAGCACTAATATTTCTTTTACTTCTTTTTCTTAATATGCCAAGAGTGCTACCCTTAAGAGTCCATCGAAGATGTTATTCCCGTCTTCCCAATCAATACTGGCCCCATTCCAATTCCACTGTGCTGCTTGGGGAGAATAAAGATTGGTATAGATTTTTTGGAAGTTCAGTTGTGTGTGTATGTTACATAGTGAGAGCAGTTCAATAGAGCAGAACACAGTTGATGAGTTTTCTGTAAGCTTTGCTATATGTCACAAAGGATGATGTGTACAAGGAAGAAAGAAAATATTGATAAAATGCTGGAAGATTAAATGAGATGAAGAAAATGTATATCAGGTGACAGTGTTTAATCTTTGTCCTCACTGTGAAGTTTCAACTGGGAGGCTACCAGGTGTGTTTGTAGGTTTAATGTGGCCAGGTATTTGTATAAAATCATTCTAAGTCACGTATTTAGAATAGCATATCACCTGCACAATTGGCTGACAGACTCTGACTGTATTGCACAAGTATGAAAGATGGCCTTTTGTGCTATAGGATTACTTTGAGCCATATTGTCATCATTATTTGATGGTTAGGCTGGGTTTGTGCAGGTTGGATATAGCAGAGTGCTGGTAGGTTGTACCTGTAATCACATTACATGAAACTTGTATGTACACTAAGGACAATGAAAGATGTGAATACATTGATTTTTGCTTTTCTTTCCAATCTATTGAATCAATTAGGTACATTATGTAGCTGAGATCCATATGTTTCGAGTTTGGATTCGCGTTAAGGAAGTACTTGTAATTGGGTTTTTACCGCAGAATAAGAAAAATTCCTCCACTTAGTAAGTAAGCATGCATGTTGGTGTGTGTATGTGTATATATGTGTGTGTGTATTTGTGCACAATATTATGTTTATTTGTTAGTCCGGGTTTTTAAAATACAGGTTGGTTATACAGGTGTGTGTTTTTGTGTGTCATGTTCATTTGGGAATGAATTGCACTGCTAATGTTTCTTTTGTGACAGTGACATGTGGTATATGCATATTATGGTTAGGACCTTGCTTAGTGGGTTTTAGACCAGGCACAGCAGTAGACAAAATAGGGTCAGGGTAAACAAGATGTCCTTGACCAGACAGTGAACCAGTAACACAAGTGTTACAGTTGTCAGTTAATCTAAATGGCATACCTAATTGTGTATTATATGAATGCAAGAACCAGCAGGTGGTTTTCCAGGTCTGTTCAAACTAGGACAATTTTAAACTGAAAGTTTGACTAACTTGCAATACTACTCAGGGTTTTTCCAGAATTGAGGGTACAGGCTGTCCAGAATTACCACACTTAATATTCTACAATATTTTAGGGAGTCCCAAGTATGCCTTAAGTCATCATATTTCAAAAAAAAAACCATAAGCCGTCCAGCCATCTTTAAAAACACGGGCCGTCCAGTAATCTGGCAGCCATCCAATGACTCCTGGGCGGTTCGCTGGGAAAACCCTTGATACTACAAGTATATATATATATATATATATATATATATATATATATATATATATATATATATATATATATATATATATATATCTATCTTAGTAGTACCATGTAATTTAAATGAAAACTGGGCCAATCAAGCCTCTGCCAAGAGAGGCCCCACTGTACCTGAGGCATATGAATCAGTTTTGTTAGTCTAATAAAATGACAGCACATCCCATGATTCTCACTTCTGTTGTAAGCTAGACATTTTATGACATTAATGAGAACTAAATCGCCACTCTGTCTGAGCCAGCATATGGTAGCATTAAGTAGGCAGTGCCTTTATTGGTCGTTAATACACTGAATAGCTTCTTGATCAGTTTGGTATCCATCTGAGTTCCACCAGAGTTTCAGGAAATTAATCAATCACTTCACTAGTCACAAGCAATTGGTGTTCAGCATGTTACCTAGTCTTGATATCTTAAGACGTGATCAGGACTTGATTTGATTACTTGTACTGCTGTTTTTTTTTTTGGTGCACAGTATTTGCTCTTCTTTTAACATTTGATAATTATACCATTTATAATATGTACCCGCATATCTTAATGTTGTCTCAGAGGTTGCAATATATATTTAATGTTGCATAATGATGGACATATTATCAAGTAATTTTATTTTGATGGGCACTTTTTCTCCTTCCACAAATCTTTTTATGATAATTGCCTTTACTCTGAACACAAATCTAAAGAAAAGCCAGATTTTGTGTAAACACAATTTGTAATACTTCCCTGGCTATCAAACATAACCATATTTTCCAGGTCCTATAATCTACAGCAATGGCAGAGTCTCAAACCTCGCAAGCCGTCAATGGGATAGAAGACGACAGGTTTGAGCAGGATCTGAAAGAAATGCTGCGAGATGGACCAGTCCTTAATGACAGCAGCTCCACTGTCCAGAGTGGGGCCATGACTAAGGTGGACAGTGTGGGTCCAGCCAGCATAAAACCCCCTCTGTACACAGCAGGCATGCAGAGATCACAGACCTTCCCTACATGTAAGGAAACCCAATTTTTTTCTTGGAGATGGGGGGGGGGGTTAAAATAGAGCACAATGTAATGCTGTGTGGTTCCAGTTCAAAAGTGTAGTAGTAGGTTAGCGTACAGGGTGCTCCATAAAAACAACATTTTAAAATGAGATGGTAAGCAAAATAGGCCATTTTTATGGACCACCCTGTATTTCCTGTAAAAATAATGGACCATTTTACATATTTAACTTAAAAGTAATTAAATGTCTTTTCAGGCAGTAAAGTCAAATGCGAAAGGTCAGACTTTGCTTCAGTAGCTCGATAGTTTACTAGTAACAACAAGATACTCAGATTTCATTATAAAAGTGGGTTATTGTAAGCTTTGAGCATCAGCACATATAATTAGTAGAATTGGTACAAATGAATAACGTTTTATGCAACTTTGTGCTCGTAATGGATTTTGTTCTAAGCTGGCAGCTAATGGACAGTTACTAGTACTGTAATCATATGATTGCTTGCACTGCCATTAATGATTCATGCTTTGTTACTTGCACAATATTCTCAATCCTACATGACTCAAACAGGCCCAAGAGATTGCAAAATTCATGAAGTAAATACATTTTCACTGAATGCTTGCTGTGTCAGTAACATCCTTCCATATTTCCTTCTTGTAGCTACTGGTAGTCCCAATATGTCTGCAAGAAATGGCGGAGGGACCAACCCCCCACGTCCGTTTTCTCAGACGGCTTCCTCCAAACTTGATAGTATCAAAGAGTGGAGTCTCAACACATTCAAGTGCACCAAACAGCTGTTAGCAGAGCGCCTGGGCAAGGGCTCTAGGACGGTAGATCTGGAATTAGAATCAAAAATAGAAGTACTGAGAGACACACAGAGAAGATATTCCAATGTGTTAAAGTTGTCACGTGCTCTGACCAATCATTTTTATCATGTTGTGCAAACACAGAGGGCGCTAGGGGAGGATTTTGCGGAGCTAGCGCAGAAGTCGCCAGAGTTGCAGGAGGAGTTCAATTATAACAGTGAAACGCAGAAAGCTTTGGTCAGAAATGGTGAAACACTACTAGGTAGGGAACTAAATCTGATGACATGCTGTTCTTCTTTTTTTATTTAATCAAAAAAAGAAGAATGGGATTGTTTTTCCTTTTTTCTCTGGAGGAAATTTTGATAAACTAAAAAAAGATATTTAAGTATTTGATGTATTTTTAGCATAAAAAAAAATAATGAAAAATAGACAAGAAAATGAAAATAGTAGTTGGATTAAGCCTAGGTTAGATATGTTGTTATACGTTCTGTAATATATTTTCTGTCCTGGCACATATATTAAAAACTTTAGGTTTACCACAGACTGTATTCATTAATAAATATTCCATTTGAGTTATTGAAATGACGGGGTTTCTGCTGACCACGGAGCAGTATATTTTCTGCATAATGCATCCTGAAACCAGCCTCACATGAATATTTCATGGATCTTCACTACTCTTCAGTGAAATAATCAGACTTATTGATCCATAGAAGCATCTCCACTATATAGATATTTGTTTTTGTCAAAATTTGAGAGTCATCATTTAACAGAAGATTTCTGAGAAAATTTTCTTTATTCTTAGAAATATACTTAGAGGATATTCTTAGAAAATGTGTCATTTATACCTTGAATAGAAAGCAGATTTTCTTAACACTACCCCCCCTTCCAAAAAAAAAAAAAGAAAAAAAAAAGAAGAATAAATACAAAAAACACTAGAAAGAAGAAAAAAAAAAGAATTAATAAGATAAAGAACATGGAGTAAAAAAAATTGATAAAATATTTTAAGCATCTTAACTCATGAAAATAACCACTGTATGCCATTATTTTGTATGATTTGTTCTATACAGCTTTATAAGCAGTTTGTACGCTATAGATCTTAGTCTCTAGTGAGCATAATACTTTAAATAATGATGCCGAAATGAACTGTGTTCATTTGCTATTGTAGGTGCTTTGAATTTCTTCACCTCGAGCATCAACACCCTGATCAACAAGACAATGGAAGATTCCTTGGAAACCATTAAGCAGTATGAAGCTGCAAGGTGTGTTTGTGTGTTAGTCAGCAGTTTGAGATTTAAAAAAAAAGTAAAATATATTTCAATGCTCCTCACAAATAAAAACAATTGACATTTTAAGGTTTTCACACTTTTTAAATTTCTTGGAAGAACTAAATATACAACTGGTTTGTATTCAGGATTGAGTATGATGCCTATCGCACAGATCTGGATACCCTGCAGTTGGGACCAAAGAACCCACAGACCATCCCAAGGCTTGAGGAGGCCAAGAGAAAGTTCCAGCTCCATAAAGACAAGTTTGATAAACTACGAGAAAACGTGTCCGTTAAGTTGCAGTTCTTAGATGAGAATAAGGTAATGTATTATACCCGAAACCATCAACATAAAAGGTGAAAGGAGGGGGTGTCTTTTCTGAAAAATTGGACATTTTTTTTTTCACCTCTTAGCTGATTTGACTCAAGAAACGGCACAGAACCTACATCAAATTTTGGTTCAGGGTGGACCTCTCCATCCAGAAAGGCCCTCCTCAACCCCACCACCCCCTCCCCCCACCCCCTCCCCCCCTGACAATCCCCTTAGACACACATGCACAGAAACTGTACAGCACATGTACTGTGTGTGATTCATGGTGGAAATTGGATCAAGTAGACTGATTGATGAGAGGATCTACTGGTAGTATTGGCAATCAAAATAATCAATCTTCTTAGCAGCACAGTGCTTTCAGTGGTCAGCTTTCACTAATAAAAGAGATTCCAACCAGTTTTTCTAATATGGTAGAATGGTCAGTTATTCTACCTCAATATATTTTCCATAATATGTGCAATAGAATCTATTACCAAGCTTTTCTGTATCAGCTACTTGGCTTACACCAGCATACTTTGTATTTTTGTCAAATTAATTCTTTCCAAAACTAGTGATAGATGACATGAAATGATTAAGTAAATCTTTTTACATGACCTATAAGCATAGCATAGAACTCATTCCTAATGAAACTGTTGTAGATTGATCCAACACTTCAGGGACTCACTAAATGCAGTCAGATTAACAGATTAACACACATCCTCCTGGCATTGAGTAGAATACAGAAAAGCTGGTTATTATACAAGTACATTGGAAACAAGAGGAGGCATGTTAATCTGAGTGCATTCAGCCAGGAGGTGTGTTAAGGAGATGACCCCATAGGTACAAATTCAGCATTCATACTCCGTCATGTGATTGCTGCACACCCAACTATGCCATACAGGGGCGGATCCAGAGATATTTTCTGACAGTCTTCCAAATTATCTTTGTTGATCCATCCTACATTTTTGACCGTCTTCCGACAGAAAACATTAGATACCTGTCAATGTAAACTTGAAAATCTGACCGTCTTCTGGAAGTCCCAGAAGACGGCCTAAATCCGCCCCTGCCATATATTTTCCTAGAACAACTGGCATCATAGTTTCCTCTTCATTTTCAGATCAAAGTGATGCACAAGCAGCTGTTGTTGTTCCACAATGCCATATCTGCCTACTTCTCGGGGAACCAGTCAGCTTTAGACACCACTCTGAAGCAATTTAATATCAAACTGAAACCAACAGGGGATTCCCCCTCATGGCTGGAGCAGTGAGCTCACTGTGGTGGTTTCTCTCACCTTTGTTGCTGAAGATGATTCTTTAGAGCTGGAGTCTAGGTTAAAACTTCATGGAATAATGGAGCAGAAGCTCCCCTTTTTTTTCTTTTTTTTTTTTTTCACGCCCTTCTTTGCCATAGTCAAGTACATGGCAGGAAGAGCACAGGAATTAAACATTAGCAAACACAAAGACGTTACAAATAATGATTTGTATGATATCTTGGACATAATATTGTGATTTTGTCCATGATGATACTAACAGACAACCTTACACAGAGTTCTGATGGACCAGGCTGAAGTCAACCTTTACACTCAACTTTCACTTCTATATCAGTTGATTACATTTGATTAAACAACTTTAATTTAATTGCCATTGTGCTCCATTTTAATGTGATGATGCAAGCTCCAAGTTCACAGTGATAACTTGGAAGAAAAGATACATGAATAATACAGTTATTCTTGATCAAGCTCCGAGTTCAGAGTGATAACTTGGAAGAATAGACATATGAATGATACAGTTATTCTTGATATTTGAATGAAATATGAAGAGGTTATCTGTCTGTGTCTTTATTTGACTGAAAGTGACTTTTTTTTTTGCCTTGTTAGATGCTGAACTTTTTTCACCCAGTCTTTTCCAAAATTTTATCAGGTGTTTATTGTTATGATATGTGATTATATTGCATTATTTATGGGTACGTCACTGTTATGGACTTTGTTACATGCATTCAAGTTGCAGTCTGTTAATTTTGTTGCATAAGATGTTTTCGTGTCAGCTCTTTTATTCTCCAAGAAAGATAAAATTAGTTGAAATAAAGTTGGTGGTCATAGTAAAAATTAACGTCCAATGTAAAGTGCAGGCACATAGATGTAGGCTGTGCCCATTGGTTAATATCTTATCAAACCAGGTGAAATATTCATATTAAATATGTGTACATAGCTTTGTTAAAATGCAGATTGGTGTAGATATCAAGTGATTTCTAAGATGTGATGAAGCAAGTGTATTCCAAGCACCTGTCGTGTTCAGAGCAGGAGAATTAGTTTTAGGTGGGAAGGGGGGAGGTTAAGTGGTGTCCCATTGTTGACAAATATTCAAGACTGATTGATGAGTGCTTACTTCATTCAATTTATTTCTGAAGTCAGAGATACTAAATGCTGAAGCTGTCTCCTGGTCTCTTTCATAGTTAGGGTTGGTATTCTGAACAGACAATCTTTGATAGATGCATTTTGTTTTTTAATTAAGTTGATGTGGCTATGGGTTTTTTAGAGGGTCTTGTTTGTTGTAGGATGGTAAAGTGGTGGTGATTAGAGATAAAATCTATATAATTTGTCATTTGTGACTTTTAATTACGTCATTTCTTAAGTACAATGTACATTAAAGACTTACAAAGTCATATGATTGACATTAGCAGTAATTAACTTTTGGGTACAAATTCAACTGTGAAATTATTTGTAGTCTATTTCAAATTTTGCTCTTAGAAATTGACGAATGGTTGTGACAAAAAATGTAAAATCTGTTTTGCCACTAATTTCTTTGTTGTCAGTAATTCTATTTCTTTAGAAATGGTTCTGTTAAAAATCTTGTGAAGTATTAAAGTCTGCCCCCAACCTCTTCCTGGTAGAATTTGCTTCCCTGGAGAATACTGTAGCAGCTGTTGTAATGTACATAGTTTTGTGTGAGAAACGATACTGGATTTTGGTGGGAAACAATTATAATTTTAGTTGAAAAATGATGAATGTGTTGATAAGTGTTGTAATGACAATTAAAAAAGGGATAATTGCAATATAAGTCTGCTAGTTTGTTATAGGAAGTTTTGGTAGACTTTCAGTCCTTGCTTTTGATACTGTTATTTGTGATTGCTTTATTTCAATTTACTTATATTTTTTTGATAATCATTATATATTCTTTATATTTCAGTTGCATGTATGGATGCCATACATTGTACATAGATATGCCACGTTTACAAACGGTCAATAAATAACAGATGGGTTAACTTTGTCCTTGTTTACTTTTGAAATAGAAAATAATTAAGGTCTTGGAAGTTGAAATTTAAAGTACAAAAATTTTTGTAGAAAAGCACTAGTGCTAGTAAGCTTAAAGATGTACAAAATTTGCTCCCTTCACTTCCTTAAATTATATTTCAGATGATTGAAGTGATATATGACAAACAACACTGTTTAAATTTAAATAGTGTATTTTTTACACACGCAGATCTTACATGGTGCCATTTAGTTTTGAAAAATTTTACATTTTAACTCTGCCCTGTTTCAATTAATTAAATTCAGTAAACAAATATATTAAAGCATACTACAACAATTAATACATGATGATGTAACAGGAAACATCTATAATGTCCCACTGTGTTGATAGTCCTTATCTGTCATATGTGGAGGAGTCATGCTATCCACCTTAAGTTTGCAAATTCCCTTTAAATATAACAGGTCCTGTGTAACACTGGAAAAACCTGCTACGCATTCCTTCCTTGTACTCCAAGGCCCACTCCAGGATGTAATAATCAATGTATGTTCACTTCAGATAACAATTCCTCAGAATGTTTTCATAAGAAATGAAGTGCTAATTAAGTTCTGGCAGGTCAGAAGAAGAAGAGGCCTGTTCTGCCTTTATCTGAAAATTCTTCACTATGACTCGCGTTGTGTCCACTGCACGGTCGGCACAGTTCTGAATGCAGGTTTCCACCCTCCCGCCAAGGGAGGAACTCATCTTAGACACGCACAGATCAAAACAGTTCTCTGAGAGCTTCAGGATGCGGGCCATCACCTGTGACTGTGCTGACATCTGTTGGGCATACTGCTGTATTTGAGGGTCGTTCAACAGGGCATTCTCGTCCACACCAGACATCGTGTTTTTTTTATGGGTATTCGGCAATTCTGTAAGGAAATGAGAGTCAAAATTACCAAGGCAAATTTCTATGACATGTTCAGTATTCAAATGCAGAGGGTTAATGCAGCTCGGGTAAATTCCGATCAAGATGATGATGATGCTGATCTTTCTTCTGCTTTCTTCTGAAAACTCTTTACTACAAAATAGGTTGTGTCAACTGCTCGTTCTGCACAGTTCTGAATACAGGTTTCAACTCTGTCTCCGAGAGAAGGTCCTGGTTTGAATATGCACAAATCAAAGCAGTGGTCACATAGTTTTAGAATGAGGGCCATGTCTTGAGCCTTCTCCGACATAATTGGGATCTTGGTGTCACTCAAAATGTCACTTCGATCTGACACGGACATGATGTCTCTCTCTTTCCGTTATGCCAAGGCCTGGAATGAAGTCAAACAGAGCTAAACCTAAATGTTACATTTATTGGAGTCTGGAAAAAACGCGAGTCCATCTAAAGTTATGTAACGCACGTGCGATCATCTTAAATACACTTTTACGTTCACTGGTTTTCAACATGCCAAGGCTCATGTGCGATTCTGAAGTTCGATAGGGTATTTTATAACAGGTTAATATCGATTTTCGCTTAAAGTTTGCATATGTAGTATGCCTTTTGACCTTAAAAATCTCATGTACTAACGTGAATGTGACGAAATCATGATCCACATTGCAATCATTCGCATGCTAGCAATCTGCCTTATATTTAGCATAGAAGCAGTAAAGAACAGTTTCTCGTTTAAATAACTGATTTAAAACTCATAAAGTAGAATAAGAGCTTAATTAAGAGTACAATTACCTAGTTTTGAAACTGATAATCCTCCACAGAGGCACAGCAAGCAGCGTGCTTTCAACTGACCTTGACCCTAGTGTGTCGCGCACGCGCATTTATGTGCAAAATACTCGCGGAAGTATGGCGGTTTATTCGCATTGCGAAACTTTATTTACCAACCCTGATGGAACTCCTATGCATTTTTACATGCGCCCTTGCGACGAAAGAGCGATTCTTAGACCCGTAGTTGAGGTACTCTCTTGATCTCTGATGGCATAAAATATAAGTAACTCTGCAGCGTACCGAAAAGACGTCTGCTAGTGCTACAAGCTTATAGTGATACTGACGCAGTGACATTGCTACGTTACAGACGTATTGAAAGTATTTGCCATTATGAAGACAGTTTCTGTAACAACCCACATTCTCCTGTTATGTATACAAATTGAGATTTAATTGCTCTCATGATCAGACTTTTTCTCCACATTGGCACACTTTTAATTCAAGGACTGACACATTTTTGCTTTCAGCATGGTGGTGGCATTTTATCAGGGAAGCAAGGCAATGATTCAATAAAGTAAGAGCTGTTTAACACAATTTCTTTTTCTCGTTTTAAAAAACAAATAAACTATGTAGCTTAATCATTTTCACTTGCATGAAATATGTTCATTAGCACTCTGTAGACAAGTTGCAATACATGTAAACATACATTTGCTTTCTTGCTTTAGCACATCAATTACATATCAGAATAAAGCATGGATTCCATGCTAGAGCCTAGGATGTTGAAAGGCAATGATTAGTTAGCTTTAGTTAACATATATGGAAATATATGCAAACGATTCTTGTTAAGACTATGAGGTGTCCACAAAATGTTCAAGTTTCAAGGACAGTTTGGGACCTAAGTAAAAGGTGTGTGTGTGTGTGTGGGGGGGGGGGGGGTACTCTACCTGGTCAAGAAAGTTGTGGTTCTTTCACCCCATGTATACTAGTACTAAACATTGACAAAATGGTCTGCACTGGTACGTATTTACTGTTTAGTTGTCAATATTTTCATTTCCAGGCTGGCAGAACCTGGGAGTGTGGTGAAAAGCGATGATTATTACCTTGCCAATTTTATAACAGACTGCGTGGAGAAGAATACTTTAATGGACATTGAAAAATACAGGTGAGTGCTGTCACTGAGTTTTTTTTTTTTCAATTTAACTTGATGAATAATAATATGTTGATTTGTACCCAGTATTTATCTTTTTTCAGAGCCACTGAATCAGTGAATCATGTGTCATTCAGTTGCATTGTAGGGTCCACATACCCAGTCCAATGAGTTAAATTTAATATACATACAATAACAAAAATGTGATTATATTGAAAAAATATTATAGCATGGGATCAGCTTGACAGTGTAGAAAACACTTTGCTTCACCTTGCATATAACTTGAAACCTTGTGAATCTGTGATGATGTTGATTGTCTTCTCCAGGCTGAAGCCATGTGATGTCGCTGGAGAAAACATGATAGTTATGTCCACTGAGGCTGTAGATGACACGGACCTGGAGCCAGCTGAACACATCATCAGATTGACTGCCAAGGACAGACGGGGGTGAGTGAGTAGGGGATGTTAAATGCCATGTTAAATTCTGGTAAAATTTTGCCATTTAATTATTTATTACTGTTATTATTATTTATTTTTTGTTTGGATGGGATCAATTCAGTATGAGATTTTTCTGTGTGTTTTTCTTTTCTTTTGTATCTCAGTAATTTTCACATTGGTGATTTAGGAGGAAGAAGTACATGTTGTCTGAGGAAGTGAACATCATAAAACATATAGTGGAAAACAGATTATATCTGGATGTTGGTGGAAACAGAGTGTGGAAGGACATGGAGAAATTGGAAGTATGTTTTTATGAAATTGAGCTAATAAAAAAAGTTTTAAACATTGTTATGAAAATTTCGAAATAAATGTTTATCAGAATTAATATCCTTAAATTGCCTACCTACCTACCCACTTGCCTACGTGTGCTTGGTTCTTATGTGGATAATGTAAATAAGCCAAAATAATGAAAGATATTTACTCGTGAAAATATACATTTAAGGATTGAATGTATTTAGTCATCCATGGATTTGGAATGAGAACTATGTAGAACCCTGATACTGGAACTTACATTAGCAGCTGACCAACATTGCTGTCTCAACCTCATTACCTAGTGAAAAGTCTCAGAATGAGGCCTCAAGGTCCGTCATTTGCCAAGGTTAGTTCCAGTATGAGAGTTTTCAGGTAGACATAGTTCTCATATAAGTTCATGATGCATATAATTTTAATTTCTATTCATCAGATCACCTCGCACTCCTGGCAGTCAATGAAGCACCACTACAAGATGCATATCTTACCCAACATCAAGTCTTTCAACATACCTAGTCACTGGCCTTCCCTGTTGACCACTGCTTCGGCTGGGAAAGAAGAAGAAGGTAGTTTTTTTTTTTCTGTTCTCCATAGAAATATTATTTTAAAATATTTCTAGGTTAGAATAAAATATAAGGAGTAAGAAAAAAAATAATAAAGCTTCAGCTAACATAAATGCAAATGATTCTTGCTGAGATTATAGGTGTCCACAAAAAATGTTTTTTCCCCCCTTGGGGGGGATTCAAGACCTAACTAGAAGGTGTGTATGTGTGTGTGTGGGGGGGAGGGGGTATTACTCAGCCTGGGTAAGAAAATTGAGGTCTTTTTAACTGAAAATGCACCAAGGACTACCAAAAGTTGCCTTTATAGAAACAGTAGCAAGATTTTAATTTCCAATTTCCCAATTTCAGGTTCAAAGGCTGCAATGGCAAGGTATCTGGCACCTGTCACTTTTTCTACTCCCAAACAAAACCAAGGTGAGATTATGATTGTATGAGTTCCACTTCTTGTTTTGAAAGATGTGACTAATTTCAAACAACAGTACACAAACAATCCATTATCATTATCTGAATATATTCAAGCTGCATGTTCTTTACTTTGGTCTTTATAATGTTCTGTATGTAATAAGTAAGATATGATTTGTGTTGTCTTTGGACTTTTTTAGTTTAAAAAACTCCATAAGTGTCACCTTTTTTATTCCAGGTAATTGTGAGTCAGAAGATGATATTGTAAACTCCTCAGATTTAGATCAGAATGAAGGAAAAAGCACAGTGCAAGATACAGAGAATCTTCCTGAAATTGATGACTTTGATAAAGAACTTTTAGAGATTGCTGAAACGCAGCATCAAAAGGGAAATAGTCCCAGAAAACATGCCGTGATGAAAAGCCAGATCAGAACTAGGTCAATTGATGCAGAGAAAGGAAAAAAGTTAGACTCTCCAGGAAAACCAATAGAACGTGCCAAGAAGAGTTCAACAGAGACCCTTATCACAGAGAATACAAACCAGAAGGGACATTATTTGCGGTCATCTACAGTGATCCCTGTTGCTGGAGATTCTGAAGCTGAAGTAATTGGAGAGGTAATTGTATATTATTTACTCTCAGTAATACCCTTCTTGCTTCTAAATGAAACATCATAATATATAGCAAGGTAGTTTTTAGTTTCAGTATGTTTAGGCAATGCATGCAATTAGTATAATATTATGTAAACACCTGGACCATTAACATTAGAGAAGGAAACAATTTAGAAAATATACATGAAAAAAAAATCCCTGCAACAAATCCTGTTGATAATATCTTCAGATGTGTTAAGGCTATATGTCTGTGTCTGTTCCCAGGATGTGGCTGACCAAGATATGGTGGAGACTGCTGGAGCTGAAGTTGATATCTCACCAGATCCCACACACAGTGGTAGAGATAAACGTGGTGGTTCAAGTAGAGATAAGAACAGGAAACGAAATGGTAACTGTCGTACTTGTACAAACTCAAGTTGTTTTTTAAAAAAAGCCCACAACTAGTTGATGAGAATATTTTATCACTTTTCTGGCTAGTGCATACTCACTAGAGATGAAGAGACAGGAAAGTTTGAGGCAAGTTGGTTATGTACAGAATTATGATGAAAAGGCCAAGTTAGGTGTTTTAATAAAGACATTCAACACAAATAACAACAGTGAGTAACTTAAGTGTAATTGCAAAGACTTATAGGAAGGGGGACTAGATAAACAAGCATAACAACATAACTCACACTGGTGGTAAGACATTTTATTGACAATTCCACTATTTCCAGGTTCACAGGTGGAAAACTCTGAGACACAAACGCCCCCCTCTGAACAACAACTGTGGGAAGATGCTATTCAGGTGAGGCTCTGTCTGTCTTATCTTTAAAGGTGTAGTTTATGTATGGAAATGATGTAAGGTCTTTTGAGGACTAGAAAGTTATTAGGAAATATGTTTCATTTTTTATTTTATAATTTTTTTAACATCTTGTATAATGGAAAATAACACACATCATTCTTATCATAAGTTCTTTACAGCGTTATTTACATGATATATTATATATCAAATGCACATGTGGGCACATGCGCACGCACACACACATTTGCATGCACACACTCACACTGCAGTGTGTAACTTACAGTAATATAATCTTATTCAGGCTCTGATGAAAAGATATCACCTTGAGAGGGATGAAGTGATCACCCTGTTGTACATAAACAGTGGCAGTGTGGGAGACACCATCCATTACATTGAGGAAGGCACTGATCTGCAGGGTAAGATCTTAGTGATTTGTAAGATAAGATATAGATTGGATATACCAGTAAACTTTACACACACACACACACACAAACACACACACACACACACGTATATATACACAATAGAGAAAAAAAGCAAGTCATATTTATTAAAACCAGCTCTTCTGTTATGTACGTTGATTTAAGTAGTGTAAAACTTTGAGCGAATGGTCCTTTGAAACTTTTCCTCAAGTTCCACATTGAAAGTAATTTCAAAGGTGACTGAAAGCAGTCTGTCTTATCTGTATATTAAGCTATAAGAAGTCTAACTGCTTGTCTTCAGGTCGCCCAGCCTGGACGGAGGAAGATGACCAGACATTGTTAAGTGCTAACACTAAAGACATGAGAAAACTCAGACAGAAATTTGGAAGTGATGGCGTCAACAGACGAGCGCTATTTCTGGAGAAGATGCAGTAAACGCTTTCACAGTGACTGTACACTACAAGCTAATAGAGAATGCCGGCTGGGTTGTATGTTGCCAGAGTATAATATCTTTAGATCTGAAACGATTTGGTGAACTGATCTTGATGTTTGTTCAGGCCTTCTATCTTGGTCTCCATCGCTGATATACAATTCATAAGTTTTAAATAAAAAAGATTCGATCTTGTGATAGGAGACTAAGGAGCAGTTGTTCAGTGAAATTATTTTACCACACAAGTTTTAAATAAAAGTAAAAAATGGAACTATGTAAATAATGTACATATTACCTTTGTTAACTGTTTTTCTGCCTTAATGTGGAATATATTTAAAAATAGAACCTTTTAACTTGTTAGTTTTGTTGAAGGAAATGAAATTTGTTAAATTTATTTTCTGGAACTAAGTGTCGTTCAGCGCAAAGTTACGAAAGATCTGAAATAAAAGACGATCAATGCTTTCTCTTTGTGCGATTTACTTTTGTTTTAATAGCGTTATGCGCTCTTGCGCGGAAAGTTTTAGGGTTGGTAATTTATTGGTAAATTCGACTAGTTGTTGGCCAATAAGTCCGTTACTAGGCCTAGAATTTTCGGTCTTTCGATTTGTTTTTCATGGATATGTTCTCAGGCTATTTTGATGGACTGCACTTACTGGTAATTGATTAGAAATTAACTGTAAAGGAAAAGAAGTTGAAAAACTTATTTGCATACCCTTCATTTCGTGCAAGACTCGATGTTATGTTTGAATCTGCTTTTGAATTAAAACCTTTTTTTGTACATTTTTTTCTTTGCGCAGGCTTGGTTGCGGTTTCCCTAATTGCGTTCGTTTTTCCTCAGCCGCGACAATACCGTTACTTTATTGAGAAAAATAAAACCCATGAGGTCAGCAGTATATTTAGCATGGGTGTTAAACGAATTCATCTGGAACGCTAGGCGTTCTACCAGGAGTCTTAGTAGTTCATTACTGACGCACTTCAAAGTCGACTGTTGTTATTTTCTTTACTTTTTTTCTCCATTTCCAGCAGTTGTCGGTGACATAAATCCTAATTCATTCGAAATGTGTTCTCTGGAACTACATAAAGTTTGCCAGTCTCAGTAAGAGACTTTTAGAAGAACACAATGGAAGTGCGCTGGATCGTCGCGCTTGTCCTCCTTATTGTTGCGGTCGAATGTATACCTCTTAAGGTAGGATTTTTATATGATGAAGGGACATTTCAATTCTCCCTTTTTATTCGGATATTTTAATTAAAATCGACATTGAATCACTTTATTCTAGCGTATTTGTCATTTATTTATGCAAATGTAGTGTGTTGTATTACACTATTTTTAAAGTTTCCGATCATGTAAAAACAAAAGGAAACACTGATACTATAAGTCTATAACGTTAACATATAATGCAAATCTGTCTTCATCCTAATTCCCCTGCCAGCCTCCGTTCCTGTTAAAGCGTCTGCGGAGAGCCGTCCACTGGGGTTTAGCCAGCAGTCGACCAAGTCGCACTGACGACACCTTTGCCGGGATAAGTGTACGAGACGAGCACGGCATGGAGTCCGACAGATTTGACGTGAGTTGGTTTTACATTTCCTGATTATATGTTTTTTTTTTTTTTTTTTTTTTTTTTTTTTTTTTTTTTTTTTTTCATACTGAAAATTTTACTTATTACTGAATTTTTTGATACTTTTTTCATGGCCACTATCCGTCTACTTGTATGTTGATTGATCCATCTCTGCGGACACTGGCTGAGTGCAATCAATTTATTAACAGATTAACACGCCTCCTTTTGTTTCCACAGTACTCATAATCACCAGCTTTCCTGTATTCTACTGAACACCAGGAGGATACGTGTTAATTTGTTAATCTGATTGCATTCAGCGAGAGTTGGATCGATCTCCGTAGACCGTCGGTGTCTATGGGAATGAACCCCTTCAGTTAAAGCTACTTCTTACGTAGAGACTACTTATACAGACAAAAAAGCCAACTTCAAAGAATTTTACGTATAAAACATGTAAGGTATGACAATAACGAGAACACCTGACACTGTTCACTCGGCTGGTCTCAGTCTTCGATATTTGACAGGTAAATCATCGGTTGAATTAGATTCCACTTTTAAGACTTTCACCAAAAGCCATCACGTTATTTCACTGTTTTCAGCGCACCGTCCACGTTCCTGTGTTTATCACCATTGGCTATGACAGGTTTGGACGACCCATTCAGATTATCAATCCAGTGCACGTTGCTTCTGCGGGGGTAGGTCTCTTTCTCTCTCTCTCTCTCTCTCTCTCTCTACGATTATGATAACCTGTTTTTCTCGTCATTTGTATATCTGTAAATTCCACACTTTACGGCTTTTCATTGATACACTGAAAGTTAAGTACAATTCGCTAGAAATCGGATGTAAGATTATTTACAATATTGATTCGTTAGTGTTGAATAGATTTATCTGTCAAATTTTCCAGAATTCACGGTCGATGGATTTATACCGATATCGCCTTGGTCGTACAGAGGAAGATGACGTCACCATACCCAGAGATGATGATGATGATGATGATGATGATGATGACGATGACGACATTGGCGAAGTTCGAGTTCGCGGTCGTAGTGATGCTGGCGACGATTATTACGGCGATTGGTATCGGTCTAGAGAATCTTAATGCTTTTAAGCAAAACAGTTCTACAGCACATATTTATCACATGCATCGCCAGTTGCTATGCTACGTATTATTCATTGGAGACGAATATTAATACTTATCATTATTGTAATAATATTTTCAGTTTGTAGGCTGCGTCCTTTGAAGATGAATATTCAGCCTTTAAATTTTCATAGATGGCTGTTGTAGATTAATTATTCCAGTCATAACTGACTTAAACTTTTCGCAAATAGCGAAATTTTTTTAATCCTAGAACAATTTGGAGAAAGTCGACGTGCGTTGGATGTTTGAGAACGTTAAAATGAAGATTTTTAGAAGTCTGATGTATGCTAACGACTGGATGCCTTCTTATGGCTCGAAACTGTTCAGTGAATGAATGACTTACTTTATTTCAAGTTGTGTGATCTTAAGTGAAAGAATCCCAGAATGACACATGAAAGTTTTCAGACTTAAGATTTGTTGAACATGGAATACTTTTCGCTAGATTACAATTGTTAAACATACAGAAATACATAAAGGCGTCAAAAATGATTTGACTTTTTTTATGGTTTATGTCATATCTTTTTTCGTGTATTTTTGTTCCGATCTGAATTGGAACTAAATAGTTTGAGGTGCAAAAAATTAATGATTTTCAATGACGCATCACCTAGTGATGAAGGAAAATTTTGGTTTTCACATTTCTGACAAAAGTTTGGTTTTTGACACATCCACGCCCTTATTTAAAGAACAATTTAAATGAGAACATAGTAGTCCGTGATGTTGAAAAATGTCTTTGGACTGTAATACAAGAGATACTCTGAAATTTTCAATATTTTATTAGGGATTCGAAATCAAAATGAGTACAAATATCAAATGTGGGAAGATCTGCTAGAAAATGATTTTGCTTTAAAGACGTACCTAAAGTACACAAGAAATCCATTCTCATCATAAAATATGGTCAGCTTGACCGACAGAATTAACCAGAGCAACGCCTTCTGCAGACCCTTTTCCTGTAAACTAAACTGAAAAGTCCGTAGCATCTTCTCACTTGAAAGCACCTCCTGCTTTTACAGAGCCCATAGCGACCGTTTTTCAAACATTTTGCTTTGTATTTCCCAATGCTGACATAGTATCTGTAGAAAACGCTACCTCGGTAGTAACTGGGGCGCAGGCGTCCACAAGTTTGAAGACTTCCTCTCTTAGCGGTATATAGATTGCCGCATCGTTTTTTAACTCGGAAGGATCTCGGGTAGTTGCGGCATACCATCTTACAAGCTGAAAGGAAATGTTTATATTATAAATTAATGTTTTTTAACTTAAATCATAGAAGACAAGCAATCAGTTGGCAGTATGCACAATGACGGTTATACATGTAGCAGAAATAAAATATTCCGCCAGGTAAATCTATCAAAAATTTCCTCAAAGCTATGCACCCTTTTTGGAAGCTGTCTACAATAGTTTCTTTGCTCAAATGTTAAAGATGGGAGAAGTTTTGAATGGAGGTGTAAGTAAGGGTTATAGTAAAATGCGTTATCCGTCTCAGATAATTGAAGGAACTCGATCTAGTAGTTGGGAGCGGTATCACAGTGCAAGGGCAGGGTGGGGACCGAGAGGGAAAGGGGAGAGAATATCCTCTGATGTGACAGGGTACTCAAGTAAAGTACAGTACATAAAACTGAAGAAGAGAAGTCGATTCAACATTTTGTAGGAGGCAACTTCTAGCGCCCCTTGTAGTCATAGGGTAGGGAGAGAAAAGAACCTCTTCTGCGCGGCACATGATCCATTTTGTTAAATACAAGGACTGTGAAATGAGATTTTAAAAAAATCCAGCGCTACCTCTTCGGGTGTCCACATCGACTGACGGGTCGGAGAGATCTGATAATTCGCCGTCACCCTCTTCCCATATGCCGTCGTCTTCTTCATCATCTCCATAGTTCCCTTCTTCGTCATCTACATCGTCCTCTTCGTCGAGAAATTCGTCACCTTCATCACCTCGAGCTCCGTCATTTATGCCATCAAGCTCTGTAAAAAATGAGGCCCTGTTACACATAGAGACACTATTAGGCCCTCTTATCTTTTATTCGTGTTAGCTACAGTTAGATACCTACCATGTACCTAGCCACCATGAAATCAAGTTTATTTTTACTTGTATGAATTATATGAAGGAATGCGTACTTCAGAAAGGATACGCCTCATAGACATAGGCCTAATACAATATGAATACCATCAACTCCCCTGAGCATTTTGATTTATAACGGTGTATGATTATTATTCCTCTTGAACGGATCTTATTGTATGTATTAGCGAAAAAATTAGAAGTCTGTTTGATGAATTACAAATCATTTACGTTTGACAACGTACAGTTGAGCTGCTTTGAGCATGGTGTTCCCAAACCTTTTACAGAGAGTCAGTAAAAAAAACTTGGTTTATTTCAATCCACTTCTCTCATCTATCATAGACATTGGGTAAGAAAACTTTCCTATAAGAAATACCAGTAAAGCATTCTTCTGAGGAAAAAATACTGTATCCTGTTTTTATTGCAAGCCAACCTTACTTGTATTCATGCAGTAACTGGCTGAGTTTAACAAGAAGCTTCTGTTAGCCCCTAGCAAAGAAATAGAAGCTCGGGATTTTTAACAAACTCTTTTTACAAACTTTAAAAACATTGTTTAAAAACAAGTCATGGGGGACAGTAAACCTTGTAAATAATAGAAAATCTCAATATATGGGCATTAAACGAGCTTGATGATATTTTTATTCCACATGAACATCAATACAAAATCTCACCATCATCTCTCCAATCCTTGTCAACCTCTTCCGAGGTTTCTTCATCAGAATCGCTGCTTAAACGCGTGAGAAGATCTTTCAAAGCTTGGACACTATCCAACCCGCCCGTCTTCTCTGCCGCGGCGCCACCGTCGTCGTCTTCAGCGACTCCGCCACGGACGGCAAAGAGGCAGAACGCTACGACAAACAGGGAGATCCTCATAACGAGAGCCGAGGTGCGGTTGACGAAGTGAAAATAACGGAGAAAGACGCTCTACACTGGTTCTACCGCTGCTTTATATACACTTGATTTTGAGCATCTGATTTATTGAAATGTTTTGACATTTTGGTGTTTACTTATGCACAAATCTATATTAATTTGTCAGTTAATTATCATAACAACGTTTCAGATTTACATAAGTCGTGACAGACCGGAGTTTGCGGGTGGGGACCTATTATTCTTCCACTGTCCTCTGCTATTTTGAGGTCCGACATGTGACAGGCTGCACATCTTATGATATTTATATTGTAACCTATAAAAAAGACTCCTAAATAATTCATGGAAGTCATTTGCATGTCGTTGATTTGTTATGAGAATGTCAGCATTTTTGGCGACTGTTTTAATGAGGTCGGTGCTAGACTTGTTGCCCTACGGTAACCTCCAGCGCCTTCATTAGAACAGATTTATTGTTCTTTCTTTGTTTCTCTGAATTGATTCTTCACCTGAAATTAACATATAAAAGACGAACACTAGTTCTATTAAAAAAATGAGTCAATAGTTCACACGAGACCGACGCATAAAAGTGTCCGGTGCCATTTCGTAACAAAACCAGCAATTTTCAAGTCAAAAAGCTCAAAACAACAATACTCTATGATTTTTCATTATTCATTAAAGGTATACTATTATATAAAGGGATTAAAGGTATACTATAAAGGGATAACACGTTTCAAAATGTCCCAATGTCGTTCGTATTTTCAAGTCTACATATCTTGCAAAGCTACTTACATCTTTCCCAAGTCAGACCTTAAAACTATAAAACCCCGCAAACTGAAGTATGTAGGCCTATATACCTGATACCGATGTTTCATTTTGAAATGTACAGTAAAACATGTCAGTCTGCAGCTAAACCTTTGGCCAGACATCTAATGTACAACTAATCAAATATTTATTAAGAATTTGAAATTGTATAAAACATCTAATTTTAGTGCATGGATTCGAAAAAAATGTGGCGCAAAATTTTGGGATGAAATTTCTTGATTTAAATATATGAAATGGAAATATTCTAAAGGAGCAACCGCAGTCGCGGCCAAGTCCTTTTTGAAAGCACTGACTGGAACTCGACTTCATTGTCGTGGAAAGCGAAAACTATGGCAACGGTCCATTTGTTTCTGATATTTTGGCAATTATTCAGTTCCCCTGCAGGTTTTGATAGTGCATGTGGATAAAAAAAAGGTCACCTTCCGACCCTCTTGCTATTTGAAATATGTTTTTCTACATGAATAGGCCGAGTGAAAAAAAAATGAAAATTCTTTTTATTTATTCATTTTCCCGCTGTGCTCCTGGATCCTCCCTCCAACCCCCCACCCCCACCCCCAACCCATCATCCGTACAGTAATAACAAAGCTGTGGTTTACTGGTGAAGTCTTCTCATAAGATGTCTGTTGTGATTTACGTCAAAACATAAATCAAACAAAATATTTTACAGGGTATGCGTAATTATGGGAATGAATAAGTACTATAAATGCCTTCATATTGTGGTCTTGTGTGCGGGGTCGTCACTTAAGCGAGAGGTATATTTAAAAATGCACGGATATTAAAAAGAACTAGACTTAAAAAATCGCCATGGGGTGTGACCATTAGAAATTAAAAATGATTGAAAAATATCATTTTCCTTTATGACTTCAGAGAAGAATTTAAGTGTTAAAACACGTTATCTTTTAAAATATGTGTGCTCTAAATAGAAACTAACTTTTAGTTGAGGCTACATTGTGTATCACTAAAAATTGTTTTAACGGACCAAAAAACTTGTTATTCTAGATATGTCAGAGGACACTGAGGTTCACAGCGTCAAAATATAACATATTACGCCCTTCTTGACATTCTGGGTCCATCAGATTCTATTCGTTTTTTCGAACAACATTTTTTTTTTCTTTTGCAATACATGTGTCAGTAAATAAGATATATATTATCAAAATTTTGGTATCAGGAGAGAAAATGCAATACTAAATAAATATAAAAGAGTCAGTCCAAGATCAGCCGAATGATGTCACAGGTGTCAAAATATTATAATTAGGCACCCACGCTTGGACTAATAACATTATAGTTCCCACTCCGCCTACCTGAAAAGTGAATATCTAAAAAGCAAAGCAGATTAAATTGAACAAAAACACATCTGCTAAATGTTTTTTTTAGATTTTTTTTACCTTCTTAATACCACGTCTGAGGGTTCCTATTAACAAACCTGGACCTTTCTCCATTGATCCATCGCAGAACACCTCTTAATTAGATTTGAGATTTTATAAAGAAAAGCACAGACAGCAATGTGTTGTACTTAACTTTCTTTGATTTGAAATAAATATGCAGATATTATGATGTAAAACAGTAACATGTCTAGTAATTGTGGTAGGTGTGAAAGAGTTCTGAGCAAACAATGTGACTGATAAACCGGAAGTCCTGAACCTCGCTCTCAACAGCCAATCAGCAGTTGTTAGCACATGTTTTAAACTCGCGGGTTGTTACTACTTGGGTTTGCTGTATGATAACAAATGATAAATTTATAGCTGATATACTGTAAGGTAAGAGAATTGGCAAGCTTGCTTGAAATATTTTGAATTTTATGTCGACTAGTCTGATCTGTGACTCATGAGTGTGAAGAAAGTCGTCAAGTTTTTCATGATTAAGAAACTTGTCAAGTACGTGATTGTTGATGTCAGCAACACCTACAGTAACACGATTTTGTTTAAGACAGAAGTGTCTGAAAAGAAAATGACATAAGTTGTTTACGGTACTAGCATACGCACAACAACTTATTTAAATTTATTCCGAGAAGGGTCTCTGACATTATCGCATTCTAGCTTGGGAATGACGTTGCCGTCTTGCACAAAGTTTCTTGTGTAAGTAGCACACTGTTACCATATTATTACACTCTCATATGTGTAATGCATTACACAACTGACACTGTGCTAACCGTCATGGCCACCTAACTGCAATATCAAATTTACCTGTTATTATCCCAGGATGTCCCAGGACAAGGTAATCCCAGTGAAGGTGGCCCTCCGTGCCAGGCCACTAATCCCCAGGGAGACATCAGAAGGGTGTCAGCAGTGCCTGGAGTTCATACCAGGAGAACCACAAGTTGTAATAGGCACCAAGTCGTTTACGTATGACTTTGCATTCTCCCCCAACACGTCCCAGGAGCTGGTTTATGACAGAGCAGTGGCAAACCTTGTGAAGGGGGTTTTCAAAGGTGAGTTAATCATGTTTGGTGGAAACATCTCATCACAGCCTGGTTATCACTTGGTTTGATCAGTTGAAGAATACACTACATGTCACAGACAACATTGTCCAATTCAACTTTTAAAATCTTAGTTGGTTTGTGAAAACAAGGGCTAAATATTCAAATTTTAAGATCCAAAACTTGCCTGGGAGCCTGAAACTGTCATTGTCATTACTCTGAAGTGCCGAATAAGAGTGCCTACCGGAATAACAGTGCCCCCCGGAAAACTTTCCAAAATTAATAACAGTGCCTAGCGGAATAACTGTGCCCCCTGGAAAAATTCCCGATATTTAATAACAGTGCCTAGCGGAATAACTGTGCCCCCCGGAAAATTTTATCAATTTTAATAATTTCAATGAATAATTGTAATGGCAATTTTAAATTATATTCAAATCTGGAAAAATTATGTTTATTAAACATAAAAAACACAATATCTAGACAAATTAACCTTTGATTTTATACACATAGTTTAACATATTTTAACTATTTAGAGTAATCTCTATCACCAAGCTCCCCCAGAAAATTTTTTTCAATCAAGGTGCAATTTGGTGCATTTTAGGGTATTTATGTAATTTTCTTTTTANAGAGTATTTTATGATAAGTATACACAAAAATAAAAATTTTCATCGGGCTTGAGATGCTATAAATTAATCATATCAACAAATTGGCTGCCTTTGTGCAATCATAAGCAGTAATATTCCTTTCTGGTGTGAGCCAAATTTCACATTTGTACACCAATCCAATACTGAGCAAAACTAGAAAAAATGTAATTTCTTGTCCACAATGGGTCCTGTAACGTTATCTCAATTGTTCGTTATATCAGGATACAATGCCACAGTGCTGGCGTATGGCCAGACAGGCTCTGGTAAGACTTATACCATGGGGAGTGGATACAACATCTCCTTGGAGGAAGACGAGGACCTGGCGGGCGTGATCCCCAGGGTGGTGAGACAGCTGTACAGAGGCATTCAGGAGAGGGAGGAGAGCCATACCTTTGTGGTCCGAGTCTCTTTTTTAGAGGTAATTGACTTTGTTTGAAAATATTTTAGGTGAAAAATTGATGAAACTGATGAACTGTTTTCGTGTTTGTACATTACTGGTACACATTTACTTTTTTTTTGTGCCTACAAAATCCTATTTAGGTCTTCTTTACATTTTCTTAACTTAAGAACTTAAACATTATATAATGCTTGTCTTAGATGCCATGTTTATAAAGTTACCTGTTATTGAAATCCGCCTAACATTTTACTAGACTGGATTCTGTTGTTTTTGGTACTTTAAGATCTATAATGAAGACCTCCATGATCTGCTGTCAAGTAACAGCAGCAAGGATCTGGCCATTAGAGAAGACCCAGAAGGGGGAATTTTGGTAGGTTTTGATACAAAAATGAACATGCACACATCCTTTATATATTATACCCAGCTTTTGTTTATGCCAGAATATTTGCACTAGGCTAAAATAGCAGACTTGCACAGTTAAAGAACTATGTTTGCAAAATTGACAAGTTGACAAATTTGCACAGATTTTTTCTTATCTGGTTTACACAATTGAATATGGCTGGTAGGTTAATTTCACAGAGGCTTTTTGTTATACTGCTCCTCCTTCAGTGATGCCAATCTCATAGTATTTTGAGCATACCACAGCCGTGTATTGTATTCTCTGTCTGATATATAGTTAAAACTTATCACATCTGTATTCCAGATCCCTGGCCTGACAGAAACAGTAGTTTCCTCCCCAGAGGACACCATCTTGTGTCTAGAACACGGCTCCACCCACAGAACCACCGGCGCCACCGCCATGAACGCCACCTCCAGCCGTTCCCACGCCATCTTCACCATCATGGTGGAACAGCAAAGCCGAGAAGACAGCAACGACTTCATGAAGTCGAAATTCCATCTTGTGGACTTGGCTGGGTCGGAACGCTGCAAGAGGACCCAGGCGGAAGGCGGTCGCTTTAAGGAGGGGGTCAACATCAACCTAGGGCTCCTGGCCCTGGGTAATGTGATCAGTGCCCTAGGGGATGAGTCACAGAAGAGAAGTCATATCCCCTATAGGGACTCCAAGCTTACAAGGCTGCTGCAAGGTATTGATAGGGTCCTGCTAGCAAATGTTTTAAAATTGGATTTTTTGATTCCTCACCAAATCAACAATAGACTGAAAGGACTGTGTCCTAAGTGTTTGACTGTCTTATCTCAAAGTAAACTTTCTTTTTCTATTTGAGTTTTGATGGAGACATTGGAGTGAGATTTTTATAATAAGCATTTTTTTTAACAGCCCATAAATTAAATTTTTTTCAAGAAACTCAAACTTTTCCACTGTAAAATGATAAGTTGTCATAAACAAAAAGTCAGTAAAAAAAACTTTATGTCAAGCCTCCAATTTACCATGTGCTGCAGTTGGCAGTTAACTATGGAAATGAAAGGCAGCCCAGGTCTTAGTTTCACAGAAAATTTTAAGTCAATTCCCTGGCTCAGGTAAAGAATGTCATGAAACCAAGCCAGATTAAGAAGTACAGCACCATTTAATTCTTTTCTGTTCTTTAGATTCCCTGGGTGGTAACAGTCACACTGTGATGATAGCCTGTGTCAGTCCCTCGGATTCCAACATGGAGGAGACCCTGAACACACTGAGGTACGCAGACAGGGCCAGGAAGATTAAGAACAAACCCATTGTCAACAGAGACCCACAAGCGGCAGAAATCTTGAGACTCAAAGGAGTGGTGAGTTGGGTTTTCAATACTAAACGTTCAAATGAACTTAAAAAGTCTGTGTGTCTTGTTGAAATTGTGATGACAGTTATGGATGCTTTCTACCCAGAATCAGTGCGCTGCAGCATAAGGGAAATATTGTCTGGTGCATGTATTTTATGTATCACAAATTTTTCCAAAGGGGATTAATTACAACATTCAGAGATTTTCTTTCAATTGATTAATGATGTTGTAAGCATGTATGAAAAGACTCCCTAGATTTGGTGTTTGTTTCCCCACAGGTTCAACAGCTGCAGGTTCAACTTATGCAGAATGGTGGAGTTCCTGGGTATGTAGCCCCGCATTCGGTGTTAAATTTGGTGTTGTAATTATCAGATTCAAAATAGTATATTTTTTAGTTACGTGTATATAACCTTTTAATATAGGTAAGGATGAAAATGAGTAAAGTATGTGCACAAAATTTTTCTTATCAGTGTGTGAATGGTGTGAACCCTGCCAAATTAAAGCATGTTCAGCTATCAGAATACCTTATCAAGCTACTGTTACCTAGTCAGTGTGTGTGTGTTTATATAGAATGCATTACATTTTGCATTCACCTTGGGTAAATTATATGTAATTTTTTTATTTTTCAGCAAATTTGAAGGGTCAATTGACATTAAAGCTTTAAAGGAAAGAATTAAAGAACTGGAGGTATTTTTTGTGAATTTTACACGTTGTTATGCAGACTATTGTCATTACCATAATCAGCTGAATAAGTTGATAACACTAATAATCCAGAGGTTTTAATTGCTTTGCTGAGCCATCTTAAGATTTATAACTACAAGAAATGCACTTAAGATAGTGATTAGACCTACATTAACTAAGATTATTCAGCAGTGATGAATGCATTTTAAAACATTTTTCTGGCCTGGCTTCAAACTCTTCTATTTGCTGTGGAACCAGTGGCTGTTATAATAGACTGATAATTTATGCACGTCTTTAATTAAACTTGCATCATTAATATTTCCTTATGCGTCTTCAATTCTTATATCACCAGGAGGAAAATCATAAACTCAGCAAAGAATTGGAATCAGCTGTGGATAATAGCACAGGGCTTTGTGAGAAGATAATAAAGACTGAGCTGGCCAGGGACAGGTTGAAGGAAAGACTGAGGGACCTCAGGCAGCAAGCAGGGTGAGAAAGAGACATTAATTCTTTATGATATCTGGTTTTATTTGTGACTCTGATGAACTAATAAAAAAGAATTGATGAATAAGATGGTTAAACCCAGTCAGTGTTAAACTGATGAAGAGAAAATAAGAATTGTGTCTGTTACTAATACTATGTCATGATAACTTTTTATTCTATTATTTTTTAACAGTTAATCACAGTTAATTCCAATTCTCAGGGTATGTCGTTTGATGACCTTGAAAGTAACGATAAACAGTTTCATTTTTTCATAATCATTTATCAAATTTAATTTAATTTTTTTAGGCTCACTCTCAACATCACACAGGAGCTGGAAATCAGTGGGGAATTGAAAGATAAGGTGGATGCCATGAAAGATTTAAGCAGAAAGATACAGGAATTCCCTGTAAGTACTGGATGTCAGGTGGTTTATTGCAGGTGTTTATTTTGATAATGGTGAATTATATGGTGAAGTACAGTGTATCATCAGCATAAATTGTCATTTAATTATTTCTCCAACTTTATTATTTAAAGGAAGAAGAACATGAATTGAGCACTATAGAAGAAGAGACCAAAACAGTAAGTATCTGAGTTATTTGTGCTAAAATTCTGTTATAAACAATGTAATTTTTAAATTCATGAAAAGTGCCTGGTTTTAAAATGACAAAACTTCTCTTTATTTGTGGGTCCTAATTTTAACACACTTTTTCCTTCCTCCCCCACAGGAGAGCTCTGGCTCTTCTCCTGTCCCAGATGAGTTTGATGCCAAGCACGCCCTGTGTCAGGCCAAGCTGAGTAAAGAGCTGCAGGAGCTGAACAGGCTGATCAACTTGAAGCAGGACCTGGCGTCTCAGCTCTCCGAGAATGACGGCCGTCTGGACAACATGAGAGTGGAATATGAGGTGAGGTTTGAAATAGAATTGAATGAAGGTCTCTTTAATGTGTTGATTAGTTTTCCTATCTTCATAAAACATTTGATTATTTGAATAAAAAATGAGAGGCATATGGGACAAGTTGTTAGATCTAATTTAAGTTCTCTATAGCAATGATTTTGTTTCTTGTCTTTAATAAAATGATTTGCCCTTTATACCCAATGCTAACAATGTATTCAAATTTCTGGTCATTCGCCTTAAACAATACTAAAATGTTTTGAATGTGGCTTATTTTAACAATTTGATATTCATCATTCAAGAAGCTTGATCTGAATAAAGAAAATAATCACCCTTCGTATGTAATCAGAAATTTATTGTCTCAAAGGAACACCAGTATTAAAGAAAAGTTGGGGTTTGTTTTCAGAAAAATGTGAAAGAGCTAGAGAGCCAGCTGGAGAACCTGATGAAGGAGAAGGAACAACTGCAGGCTGCCCTGGACTCAGCCAAAGCTCAGACTAATGCCAACAAGTTAGTGCACTTAATTATTATGAAAGACAAGACTGAAGTTTCATAAACCAGGGATAAGCTTTTTTTCCGGCCATCAACAGATTTCCAACTTTTTCTGAGCCAAAAATATAGTGCTAGACAGCACCCTGGACCTCATGTCATATTTTTTTATTTATTCACTAAATGGCAGTCTCTCCCTGATAAACTGACCTATTGACATCATTTTGTGTTGACATTTACTTTGTTTAACAGCATCTTATTGCCATATTGGCATGGATTATATTAATTTATTATTAGTATCATTATTTTTTTGGCTTTGATAGTTGAATTTATATCAGTGCTTACATATTCTTCTTTTCCCCCCTAATAATTGGATTTGATTTGTTTTTATTTTTTTTATTTTTGACATAATTTAGCATATTCAGTGTCTTAGAAACTGTTTAAAAAACTGCTGAAGTTACAGCTATGCTCATTTTTGAATTTGAATTTATGTTTACTTTTCCCCATCCCAGAATCTCGGAACAAAGAAGACAGAGATTAAAAGAGTTGGAGAAAGAGCTGGCAGCTAAGAAGAAGGAACTACTGGAGAAGAACAAGATTGTGAAAATGAAGGAAAGCACAGACAAGCAGGTCACAAAGATGAACACTGACATACAGGTATGATGGAGTACTGTTGTGTGAAGGGTTGATCATTGTGCCATAAAATTTGTTTCAGTATAAATTTGTATCTGTAAATACATGGGTGAATTATTTCAGGGTTATGCCTGATTTCAGGTTTTCCAGTCTTCATTTTGATTTGCAATGAGAAATTACGAGCTGTGTTTTCAGGATTTTTAGTTTTGACAACTTTCACCCACGTAAATATGAATATGATGCAGTTTAACTGATCCCTATCTTATACTATAGTGGGATGAAAATGAGAAAGTTAGTTCTAAAAGTGTCACTCTCATGTTATAATTTGTTCTGATCTTCACAGACAATGAAGCAGCAGCGCGTAAAGCTGATGAAGCAGATGAAGGAAGAGGCAGATAACTTCAGGAAGTGGAAGCAGAGTAAAGAGAAGGAAGTGATGCAGCTCAAGGCTAAGGTAAGGCTTGATTGCAATCAGTCATTGGGCTCATGGTATCATAGTTAACTGTAGACATGTGCATTACATATGCTGATTTGGAAGGAGAAAATTTAAATTGTTGATGGGGTTTAATGTTTTGATATAATATCTGCTTGTTCGGCTATAATCATTTCAGACACTAGACAATGCATAGTTTATTTTTAGCCATATAATTCATAATAAGTGAAAGGAAATATATTTAAATGAAGTTCAGACTTAGATATACTATTGTTGCCACTTTGCCTATATTTCATAATATAACTGCCCTGTCAAACTTGGACCCCCAGTTAATCAATTAAAAAAAATTACTTCACCTTCAGGATCGTAAAAGAGAATACGAAATGACCAAGATGGCCAGGAATCATGAGAAACAGCAGGGTGTGTTGAAGAGGAAGGCAGAAGAGGTAAAGTTAAATACACCGTGTCAGAATTTTGGAACCCTAATACAAACTGTTAAATTAGGTTTATAAATAATGGGAGGATGGGGCTATAACCTTATATTTCATCCACAGATTTATGTATTGGATTGAAAATTTGTCATGCAAACTTCAAAGTTTGCAGGGCAATTTGTCATCTTGATTAGTTTTCAGTAAGTTTTCAGTAATGGTTTGATGTTCTCTTTTTTTTTTTTAAACGTAGGTGAGATATCAGGTAAAGAATAGTTCAGATCATTTATTATTTGAATTTAATGTTTCACTCCAGATTTATCAGACTTTTTTTCCCTTATTTAAAAGTTTATTTTATCAGAAAATTTTATGTTATGAAAATAGTGAAATTTACAAAACATCATTTACATTTCACTAAATGATGTCACTATAAGGGGTCTGGAGCTATTTGGCACTTACACTATGTTGCTTTTCTCCATGTTGCTTTTCAGCTAAATAACCTTTCAGTATTTATTTTATTGTTGGTATTTTGCATTACTAAAAATGTTTTGCTGCCTGTTTATACATATCCAGAACTGATATGATGATTACCTAGCTCTTCTTTGCATACTTTCATAAGTAAATTAAGACCACTTTGTATAAACCTTGATGAAAGGGTATTAATGTAAAGACTATAAAATAAATGAGATTTATAGAAACAGTGATAAATTTTCATTGGCCTAGAGCCCATTGCAGAGTGTCTCGACCAATCTCATACTGTCAAAGTATTTCACTTGAACAGCTGACGTTGCGAAAAGTTTGTTTGCAGCTTATCAAGGCTTTGTTGTCTTTGACCAAAAATCCTATTATATCTAATTCATATCATACTCCTATCTCTACATGACTGCTAGGCTTCTCTCACCTGAGGTGTAACCTGTGTATTATTATTATTATTATTATTATTATTATTACAGGCTGCTGCTGCTAACAAGAGACTGAAGGAGGTTCTGGAGAAGAGGAAGGCTGTGGCAGCAGAGAGGAGCAAGTGCCCTGAAAATGAGAGGAACAGATACCAGCTGCAGGTCAAGGTGGGGGCTAGGACACACATGCACGCGCACACGCACACACACACACACACATTCTCTGTCTTTAAAACATCCCAAACATCAAGTCAAATTACAGTGACTTGATTAAATGAATGCAGACGAATTGATCTACAAACTGAGCTGCCAGGGATGTTTTTTCACTCTCAGTAGCATTACACATTACAGTTGTTGATTTTTTTTGCTCTCCAGAGTTTGGTCAACCATTACATGGAGATAGGAGTCAGTTTGTTAATATATATTTTTCTGTTGTCCAGAGTTTGCTCAACCAGGACCTGGAGATAGCGGTCAGTTTGAGGGAGGCCCAGCACCACCTCCAGAGTCTGATGAACGACAGAAAGGAACTGACCAAGCAGTTGTCTGATCTCAAGGACAAGCTGCTGAATGGACCTCCCAAAAAGGTGAGGATCTTTGTCAACCTTTTCTCTTTATCTTTTAAATGGTGTTTTGTAAATATTGTTATTTCTAGTTTCTTAGCTCTATGTTCTACTGTTTGTCTCATATTTATAATATGTTGTAACTTATTCTTTATTTATTTTTACAGATATTTTTTATTTATTAATTTATTATTAATTTCTGAACTCTACTCTTGGCTACTTTCCATACATTTATATAACTCCGGTAAAAAGTATTTGATCTAGTATCCAGAAAAGACCATGACAATTTATTTCAATGATAACTCTTTCCCACTATTTGGTTTATTATAATATTTTTTCTTCTTCTCATTATTATTTAGAAATATGCTTGGGGTGGAGCCGGTGACACGAAGGAATCATCTGATGAAGACAAGGAGGAAATCAAGAAACAAATCCGCACCCTGGAGCAAGATCTGGAGTTGAGAAATGCTCAAATTGCAGACCTACAGCAGAAGATTGTGGACGCTGAAGACGGTTTCCGCTCCAAAAATCTGGAAAGCATTGTATCACTAGGACAAGCCAAGACAGGCATGAATTATCTGCTGGACCAGGTGAGACTGAAGCATTCTTTAATACTACATGACATTGGCAAATAAAACGTGACTTCCAGGCTGATGTTAGCACCATGTGACTTTAATCAACCTGTGACCTATGCTTTTCCAAAGTCTGTGAATGCCAGTGCACCTGAAATGCAGCAGTATATGAGCTAATCATCTATATACACTGGACTCAAAAAGTAAGGAAACGTGAAATTGTTTGTCAGTAATGGAAAAACTATGTATTGGTGGATACATTATCCATCAGTAGTGGTGTAAACTATTTACTTTAGCTCATATGGTTATTTTATCATTATTCAAAAATTCAAAATATCGATGTTTCTGAACTTTTTTGGTCGTGTGGTACAGTTTCTTTTAATGGTGTCTCGACCAGAAGATACATTGGTATCGTTCATGTTCTTTTCTTTCTCTCTCTCTCTCTGCGCTTATATAATATGTGCACTGTCCATTGTCGTCATCATGCTCTTAAGTGGTTAAAACACCAGTTAGACTAAGTTTAACAAACCTTTTCCTATTTTTAAGGCTGTGATTGCCAAGTGTGCCCAGAGCAGAGTGGCCTGTGAACTGAGGCACCAGAGGAACACTGTGGAAGACCTGACCAAACAGACAGAAAAGATGGAGGAAGAACTGAAGAGTGTCAGACATATCCACCAGGAGGAGCTGCTGGCTCAACAGAGACAGTACGAAGACAGGGTAAGTATCCTGCAGATGATGTTTTAGACTGAATCTAAAACCAAGTTTGAAAGATTTAAATAAGTATGAGATNTATTATTATTATTATTATTATTATTATTACAGGCTGCTGCTGCTAACAAGAGGCTGAAGGAGGTTCTGGAGAAGAGGAAGGCTGTGGCAGCAGAGAGGAGCAAGTGCCCTGAAAATGAGAGGAACAGATACCAGCTGCAGGTCAAGGTGGGAGTTTAGGACACACACATGCATGGATGCGCGCATGCTTGCACACACACAAACACACACACACATTCCCTGTCTTTAAAACATACCAGATCACAGTGACTTGAATCAGTTAATGCAGATGAATTGATCTACAAACTGAGCTGCCAGGGATGTTTTTTCACTCTCAGTAGCATTACACATTACAGTTGTTTTTTTTTTTTTTTTTTTGCTCTCCAGAGTTTGGTCAACCTTTACATGGAGATAGGAGTCAGTTTGTTTATATATATATATAATTTATTTATTTTTTTATTGTCCAGAGTTTGCTCAACCAGGACCTGGAGATAGCGGTCAGTTTGAAGGAGGCCCAGCACCACCTCCAGAGTCTGATGAACGACAGAAAGGAACTGACCAAGCAGTTGTCTGATCTCAAGGACAAGCTGCTGAATGGACCTCCCAAAAAGGTGAGGATCTTTGTCAACCTTTTCTCTTTATCTTTTAAATGGTGTTTTGTAAATATTGTTATTTCTAGTTTCTTAGCTCTATGTTCTACTGTTTGTCTCATATTTATAATATGTTGTAACTTATTCTTTATTTATTTTTACAGTTATTTTTTATTTATTAATTTATTATTAATTTCTGAACTCTACTCTTGGCTACTTTCCATACATTTATATAACTCCGGTAAAAAGTATTTGATCTAGTATCCAGAAAAGACCATGACAATTTATTTCAATGATAACTCTTTCCCACTATTTGGTTTATTATAATATTTTTTCTTCTTCTCATTATTATTTAGAAATATGCTTGGGGTGGAGCCGGTGACACGAAGGAATCATCTGATGAAGACAAGGAGGAAATCAAGAAACAAATCCGCACCCTGGAGCAAGATCTGGAGTTGAGAAATGCTCAAATTGCAGACCTACAGCAGAAGATTGTGGACGCTGAAGACGGTTTCCGCTCCAAAAATCTGGAAAGCATTGTATCACTAGGACAAGCCAAGACAGGCATGAATTATCTGCTGGACCAGGTGAGACTGAAGCATTCTTTAATACTACATGACATTGGCAAATAAAAAGTGACTTCCAGGCTGATGTTAGCACCATGTGACTTTAATCAACCTGTGACCTATGCTTTTCCAAAGTCTGTGAATGCCAGTGCACCTGAAATGCAGCAGTATATGAGCTAATCATCTATATACACTGGACTCAAAAAGTAAGGAAACGTGAAATTGTTTGTCAGTAATGGAAAAACTATGTATTGGTTGATACATTATCCATCAGTAGTGGTGTAAACTATTTACTTTAGCTCATATGGTTATTTTATCATTATTCAAAAATTCAAAATATCGATGTTTCTGAACTTTTTTGGTCGTGTGGTACAGTTTCTTTTAATGGTGTCTCGACCAGAAGATACATTGGTATCGTTCATGTTCTTTTCTTTCTCTCTCTCTCTCTGCGCTTATATAATATGTGCACTGTCCATTGTCGTCATCATGCTCTTAAGTGGTTAAAACACCAGTTAGACTAAGTTTAACAAACCTTTTCCTATTTTTAAGGCTGTGATTGCCAAGTGTGCCCAGAGCAGAGTGGCCTGTGAACTGAGGCACCAGAGGAACACTGTGGAAGACCTGACCAAACAGACAGAAAAGATGGAGGAAGAACTGAAGAGTGTCAGACATATCCACCAGGAGGAGCTGCTGGCTCAACAGAGACAGTACGAAGACAGGGTAAGTATCCTGCAGATGATGTTTTAGACTGAATCTAAAACCAAGTTTGAAAGATTTAAATAAGTATGAGATAAAATCTTTTTGCTATTAACTATAAAGAAATAAGTAATAATATACTTTCAGGATATAAAGAAATTGAGTTCCTGTCAAAAAGATATAAATGTAATTCAAACACAGCAGACAGGATTAAAATATGTGATTTTATAACCGCCATTTTTTCCAGATACTTTACCTGCTGCGCCAGTTGAAAACTAAAAAAGAGGATGAGCCTCTTCTTAACAGCACTCTAGATGAGCAAACTAAGGAACGCCTTAAGTTCCAGGTAATATATTTATCACTTAGTACGAGGCATTGTCAGAAGTTTGTCACCAAAATTTTCTTCTTGTCATCTCAGACATGATCAGTTAGTAAAATGGATGACTGGCAGTTGACATATTCTATTTCATGATAGTGTTAAGCTTGAACTTTTGATCCCAGGAGCTGACGTAATGATAATAATTTCATTGGAGATTTTGCATTAATTTTGTGCCTTAAAGAGAGTCTCGCCCTGAATTTGGTGCTGGTTGTTTTCAGGAGCAAGAAATAGAGCGACTCAGTGGCCTACACGAGGAGTTGCAGAAGAAAATGGAGGAATGTGAGGTGTTGAAGAAGGTACGAAAACGCTGAGTCTACAGCTCTTGTGGCATACAGCATGGTTGTGGTTAAAGTTATTATTCATTTAGATGCATATAAATATTATTATTTTTTATTAAATTTTTAATCTGGAAGAAACTGTATTTTCTAACTTTGGCCTGATTTGTTCTCGCTAGGAACTCACCCTAGCCAAGTATCAAGGTCGCAAGATGTCTTTGATGCCCACAATTACAAGAGCAGACGGCTCTCCGTACTTCACTCCTCCCAATCCCCTGCTACGGGTAAGTCATGAACATGGTTACATTTTGTTAATTTGTGCATTCAATTTTTCAGTTTTACTTGCAGGATTTAAGCATTTGAATTTTTTGATCACATTGTAAAACTATCTTTGTGCAAACCTGATATAGTCCTGTTTAAGACTTTATTTTTTGTCCAAACTAAAATATAAAAGTCAAACATAAATCACTCTTCATTCACATTTCTTTGGTGAAACTTCATTTACTAATTTATTTTAAATATTCTAATTATCATATAATAAAAATTTGAATGATATTTTCATCTCATAATTTTACAGAAGAAGAAGCCTAAGTCTCAGCGCACAGAGGCAGAATTGATGCTGGACTTTGACGACTTCTCAGACACAGATTCTGACGACTTCATAGCTGATGA